TTCTGTTTTTGGTATTCCTATGACATTATCCTCACTTCATCTCCCATTGGTTAAAATTCATGAATGATCCTGGATTGAACACAGTTGAGAACTGAAGATACTACAAAGATTGTATTTAATATTCCACAATTTGGTTGTATATGTATGATGACAATACAGAGTCTAGTCTAACTTTTTTTTTTTTTTTTAACAGTAAGAAATTATAAAAATAAAATCTTACCAAATCATCAGAAATTGTGCACATTTCCATTTACCCAGTTTCTTCCTTCAATTTTATTTGAATTTTTTATGATAATATGCTCAGAATAAAACTTCTTTAACATATTAGAGGGTAAATAAAGTCTGCTTTTTTTTTTTCTTTTTTTTATAAAATGTTGACACCTGGAAATGCCATATGGTACTGCAAAAACAACTGAACAGTGACCTTTGTGTGGTCATAGGCATGAGTCATCACAACAACCTTTGCAATACTCAGTTAGATAATTCACACTATAAAGCCACATTATTGTCACACTTCTAGGTCTCATCATTGATCGTCCTCTGGGCTTCATTTTATAATGACACTGATTTATTTCTCTTCAGATTACTTGTGGATATTCAAGTCTCTTTCAACTAAATACCACTAAGCATCAGAACCCATTAAGGTATTCCTGAAATCATCTATAGGTGTGAATGCTCAGCAGCCACAGTCAATTATTCTGTGTGGCTTTGTTCTTTGTGTTAGGAGGCAGGCTGTGCTTTGCAATCAGTCAATATACAAAAAAGTATAACTGACTGAGTCACTCAAAAAAAGAAAGAAATAACCTACAATAAGCTTGTATTAGATTTCACAGTTCTTCCATAGCTGGAGTGAAGAAGTTCAAACCCTCAAATTAGAAGGAGCACAAGGAAAGAGTGGATTTTGAAACTTTACAACACTGCATGAGACAGATTTAATTTGTCAGTTTCTCAGAATCACAAAACAAAAACGTGCTTGTTTATTTGTCATCTAGAGGCAGAATTACAGTGGTGGACCAGCTGCAATAATAATGATTTGGAGTACTGAGTGACCTGAATGTTTTAAAGCTTCAACCAAACCGGGACTCAAATATGTAAATTTATCTATTCTTTTCACAATACATGCATTACCACACAAATTCAAAACAGCTGATGAATTAAGAAACAATAATTCGGCATTATTCATTGGACATCTACATTATTTAGGATTCTCTGATGCTACCAACCCCCCCCCAAATAACAAAAACAAAAAAAACAAAACAAAAAGTCACGTCAGGAATAACTTCAAAATTTTCAAAGATGCCCCAAACCAGAGCGCCACAGTTTGACAAATTACCAAAGACCTGTAAGTAACGCATCTTACACCTATGCATCCCAACAAGGCAGCCACAGTTTAACGATTAAAATATTGACAGTTATATTTTTTATTTTTTTTTTTTTTTATTTTTTTAAGTATCTCTTCCTAGTGCCTTTTTCCCCTCAACTTTCATCATCCTTCTTTCCCACCTCCTTTTGCAGCCTTCTGTTACAAAGCAATAACCCTCACTCTCACTAACCTGTCACAGTGCTTGTACTAATTCGACTTGTTTTAAGTATCTTAAGTCAATGTCTGGTCCCATTTTTTTAAAATAATGCATTAGAATAAAAAAGAAAAAAGAAAAAAAGAAAAAAAAAAAAAAAAAGAAAATCTCCTACCCAAAACTCCCTTCTTAGTATTTACAATAATGATGACTTCCACGTACAGCTCCAGCAACCGCTTCCCTTTCCTTTTTGGTTGACCAAAGAAAGTGAAAATCTATAGCAACACATTAAACTTAAATAAACAATGTTATCTTCAAAAGACGCAAGAAAATGATTTTCAGGGGAGGATTTAATCGAGTATATAACTTTAGAGCTACATCTTTCATCTGCATATTCATTAAACATGATGTTCGGTTCCAATAATAGTCTTTTGAATTCTAACTTTTGAGCACAAGAACTGATCTGAAGCTGACACACACCTACACGCACATTACAAAATTGCAATTTATGTAAACTGGGAACAACAGTACTCTAATTTCACATTTAATTTAATCTATTTTAAGATTCTTACACTTTTAACATCTAAAAATAACATCACAAGAAGTTAAATTAGCTTGAAATGAGCAGAAGTTCACAATCCACTTAAAACTTTCCTGAACCCAAAGAGAAAAGTTCTGTTGCGTCAATACAACACAAAGCTGAGCACAGCAAGCACAGAGATAATATAAATCATCAGGTATCCTCTAAGTCAAACAGGAATAGTTGCATTAATTATGATATTAAAAGGAGAGAAGAGGCTGTTCCTGAAACGCCGCTCTGCAACAAGGCTATAATTACACAACATATAAACCTGGTACTAATTAGCACCTCAGAAAATATAACTGCACTGACAAAAACATCTCATCAATTGTTTATCTTCCTCATGTCAGCAGTGAGGCACCAAAACAAAACAGCGCCAATTAATATAACAGGCCATCAGTAACTCTGCGGGCTAGCCTGCTGCCATGGAGCACGGAGATTGTTAATCAGCCTGAAAGAAAGTGACAGGGTTTGATAAAATGTGAGCGGTTACCTGTCTCCTTAACAACCGACAAGAGCAGTTCACCTCTGAAAGTCGAGTAAAAATCCTCCTTCATGCCAGTTTCTTCTTCTTCTTTTTTCTCCATAAATTATTTAATATCTAAGGAGCTGGAAAAGTGAACCTGAAATTATGCATCACACGGTGGCTTTGCAGCAGGCTTCGTGATTAATATCGTGTTCTCACCTCCATCGAGGCCTTGCTGATAACATTGCACTTGTCCCCCCGATTTATTATGTAAGGGTTCAAAGCTGTACATTAATTCCAGAGTTCAAACTGATTAAGCTGTCTGTGTGAGAATACCGGTTCACACCAGAAAGTAGATTATTCTGCTGCTAACCTCGCTAACACTAGCCGGGCCACAGAACCCCCTCATCATCAGCATCTGTTCAGAGACGGCTGCAGGCAGCAGCTCCGAACACATTAACAATATAAATTCTTTTTATGCAGACAGGGAAGCTTTAGGCTTTGCTTTGAAAACTAACCCACGGTGTCGATTTTAGAAGGAAAATACACAAACAGCCATGACAAACATCTAGCATTAGCTGCTTAAGCTAAACATTTGCCCTGGCATTATTACAATGATACAAAAAGCTCAGCTGATGTTACAAGCTCGCACATAGAGCTTGGTTAGGACTTGCATTTAATATAACCAAGTGTAATATTAGTTTGGGCCACCACCAAATTAGCTGAACCACACCAACTCCTCTAAGTTGCTGCGCCACTGCAAGCCTCTTTGAAACCCAGCTGTCCCTTTCCTGCTGTTTCTGCCTTATTCAGTATCATAGCTGTTCTAAGTGGTCTGTGTTGGGTTTTTGCTACAGCTGCCTGCGTAAAGTAAGTTGAAACGAGGATAGGAAGTAGAGCAGGGCGATATGACCAAAAATATTTATCACGATATACATTTGAAAATTTGCGATAACGATATAACTGACGATATAATTCACACTAGACAAAATACTTTACAACTCCTCAACTTTATTGGTGCAAAAAACAAAAACAAAACAAAAAACATCAATGTATTTTCACTTAAACAAGCAGCTGTTTTTTTTTTTTATGTGCATTAAAGTTATATAAAAATGTAACAGTGCAAATGCAAATTCCTTGCTGACAGTTTAACCAAAAGGCGTTTCCAGTGGAAACTGGCCGACATATCCTCAGCATAACCATGTGTAATATGCACAAAACTTAAAAAGAGGTTATACACACACAATACGGTAACATTATGTTGAAGCACAGTACGTATCACTCCGCGAGGCGCCTGCCTATGACAGCCGTAATGCTCCGACAATTACGCCGCGGTGCGGCTTCGTAGCTCAGCAAAGTCGTACTGAAACATTTGACAGATTTTTGAGCGCCGTGTACATAAAATCGTTTCGAGGTCAGTAAACACAACCAGAAGTCATACATAAGGCACACGGGATTATAAGGGGCACTGTCGATTTTCAGAAAAATTAAAGGATTGATTTTAAGTGCGCCGTATTTTCCAAAAAAAATACGGTAACAACAACGGCCCGCTAGCATGCTCTACCAAAAATAGTGCTTTGTTGTGTATCTGACGGACGAAAGCTAAACCAGTTCCACACCACTGAAGTTGGAGCATTTTTACAAACCAATTCTGGTTCATCCGTTTCATTCAACGATCCACTTTCGCCCTTCTCATTCTCCATCGCCGCCATGCTTTTTCCGCCATGTGCGTATGAAAACAAAGGCACTGCGCCTGCGCGTTTTACCCATATTCTATCGCGATATTTCATTTTCTTATCTTTGCCCAACATTATACCAGTATTACCGTGAACAGTATGATATGGCCCAGCTTAATAGGAAGGACCTAGAAAACAGCCTTGACCCCAAGTATTACTACTGCAGATAGAAATAATATTCTTGGAATTATACTGAATGGGTTACAAATAAGATTTCTGCAGTATGCATTATGTTTCTTATTTTATTGTACTTTTACTGACCATACTGGCAAGAACAACCAACCAAATGCTCAGAAGTGAATTTAGGCAAGGCTCTCAGCAACAAGACTCTAGTCTTGTTAAGAAATGGCCGACAGGCCCAGTGAGATACATTTCTGAAATCCTGACTCACCACTATGAGAGAGAGTGTCTCCATTTCTCTCCCGGTCTGTTTATAATATACATACGCATGAGTGTCTTGGGATCACTTTTGGGCCTCCGCAGAAGCTGGCCGCCACGTTTACTTCTGAGCAGCTCGGTATTTGTGCAACAGTCAACATTACTAGCAAACAAATGATTCAGTGGTTTGTGTTTGTGCATGGAAAGGAGCAGGGGAGGACAGAACAGCAGAAATAGTTCACCTAAAGTTCAGTTATCTGTAGCAAGCCACACAGACTGTGCGTATGTACACGAACGCAGGTGTTTTCTCCTCAGTAGTGATGAGCGTGTGTGCGCTGTGTACCTTTGTCGCTGAAGTCGTCGACCAGGATGATCTCGGCTATGAGCTGTGGGGGAGAGCGATTCAGCACGCTGTGAACCGTCCTGAGCAGCGACGACCAGCCCTCGTTGTGGAACGGGATGATGATTGTGGTGTTGGGCAGCTTCTCTGCATACAGCTTGTGTTTACAGCTACACAAACACATGGAAGACACAAATAAGAGGGGAAATAGACAAAAGGGAAATAAATAATATATTTTTAGCCAGTGTGAAGTATCTCATTAACTACTGGACAAAGTTTGATGACTTCGATGCCCAATTACTGTTAGTAATACTAACAACCACGAACAATCTCGACACACACTTCTTTCTAGGAAAAATCAATCCAAAGCTCAGTGGTATTCTGAAATCGGTTGTTGCTACTGCGGTTCCCGCCTTCTGCTTTCTGTGTAGTACATGCAAAGGGGTGGGGGCGGGGAGTACGACAAACCAATCCAATGCTCAGTAGTACTCTGAAATCTCATCTAGAAAATGACAGACAATAGTGAAAAATAGCTATAATTCAAGGCGTGATAACAAAGGCCTCCAACTCCATAAAGGATTATAGGCCTTTTCGTTTGGCCCCAACAGAAATGTAATTTTGGATTGCTCCCTGGAATTGGTCACTATTGGTCTGTTCTGATCAAAGTTGTCCCTATTACAGTATTCACATGGGTAATACATCTACAGGAGATAAATCTTGGAACAAGTGGTTGATGAGCAACGACTGTGTTGGTGTGACCAGTAATGGCCTGCATTTTCCATCCACTTTGTGCCAAAACACTATGGTAGATACACACCATAGTTCAGTTTGTTAAAGCAGAACACTGCATTGACAGTCTGAACATCAAGTTTCACAGCAAAACCCTGTGAACGCTGGAAAAACAAACACGTTACTGGTCACCTGACCGTTGCTTTCAAGCTTGGATGCTGCGAGCTGAAAACTGTTGTTTGGTCTCTGGATTGGAGTTTGAGATCCAGCTCTCATCACCAGTGAAGGTCCTTGACTTGAAAAGGCCAGCTTAAAACAGATTAACAGTTTAAATACTTTCTGTGTACAAGTGCAAGTTTGAAGCACACAATGACATGACCTATGAGCACTGATTGGCCAAATTTAAATCAGGGACAGTTTTTGATTTTTGTGAAGACGACATTTTCAGATGTCTTATTCTGTTGAGCTACAGTCTAACATTCAAGGACATTCAATGAGCTGTTGTGTTACAAGAAGAGGAAGAAATCTTTATTTTTAGAAGTTAGGAGGAAGATTTGCACATTTTTCCTAATAATCTTTTAATATTTTTAATGACCAAAAAAGTTGCAAAAATAGCTTTATTCCTTTTCAACCTGCTCGATGAAGTGTAACCTAAATAAATTGCAGATGGACTGGAGATATACAGTGGGGCAAAAAAGTATTTAGTCAGCCACCGATTGTGCAAGTTCCCCCACTTAAAATGATGACAGAGGTCAGTAATTTGCACCAGAGGTACACGTCAACTGTGAGAGACAGAATGTGAAAAAACAATCCATGAATTCACATGGTAGGATTTGTAAAGAATTTATTCGTAAATTAGGGTGGAAAATAAGTATTTGGTCACCTCAAACAAGGAAAATCTCTGGCTCTCACAGACCTGTAACGTCTTCTGTAAGAAGCTTTTCTGTCCCCACTCGTTACCTGTATGAATGGCACCTGTTTGAACTCATCATCTGTATAAAAGACACCTGTCCACAGCCTCAAACAGTCAGACTCCAAACTCCGCCATGGCCAAGACCAAAGAGCTTTCGAAGGACACCAGGAAAAGTATTGTAGACCTGCACCAGACTGGGAAGAGTGAATCTACAATAGGCAAGCAGCTTGGTGTGAAAAAATCAACTGTGGGAGCAATCATCAGAAAATGGAAGACATACAAGACCACTGATAATCTCCCTCCATCTGGGGCTCCACGCAAGATCTCATCCCGTGGGGTCAAAATGATCATGAGAACGGTGAGCAAAGATCCCAGAACCACACGGGGGACCTGGTGAATGACCTGCAGAGAGCTGGGACCAAAGTAACAAAGGTCACCATCAGTAACACACTACAACGGCAGGGAATCAAATCCCGCAGTGCCAGACGTGTTCCGCTGCTGAAGCCAGTGCATGTCCAGGCCCGTCTGAAGTTTGCCAGAGAGCACATGGATGATACAGCAGAGGATTGGGAGAATGTCATGTGGTCAGATGAAACCAAAGTAGAACTTTTTGGTATAAACTCAACTCGTCGTGTTTGGAGGAAGAAGAATACTGAGTTGCATCCCAAGAACACCATACCTACTGTGAAGCATGGGGGTGGAAACATCATGCTATGGGGCTGTTTTTCTGCCAAGGGGACAGGACGACTGATCCGTGTTAAGGACAGAATGAATGGGGCCATGTATCGTGAGATTTTGAGCCAAAACCTCCTTCCATCAGTGAGAACTTTGAAGATGAAACGAGGCTGGGTCTTCCAACATGACAATGATCCAAAACACACCGCCCGGGCAACAAAGGAGTGGCTCCGTAAGAAGCATTTGAAAGTCCTGGAGTGGCCTAGCCAGTCTCCAGACCTCAACCCCATAGAAAATCTGTGGCGGGAGTTGAAAGTCCGTGTTGCTCGGCGACAGCCCCAAAACATCACTGCTCTCGAGAAGATCTGCATGGAGGAATGGGCCAAAATACCAGCTACTGTGTGTGCAAACCTGGTAAAGACCTATAGTAAACGTTTGACCTCTGTTATTGCCAACAAAGGTTATGTTACAAAGTATTGAGTTGTATTTTTGTTATTGACCAAATACTTATTTTCCACCCTAATTTACGAATAAATTCTTTACAAATCCTACCATGTGGATTCATGGATTTTTTTTTCCACATTCTGTCTCTCACAGTTGAAGTGTACCTCTGGTGCAAATTACTGACCTCTGTCATCATTTTAGGTGGGGGAACTTACACAATCGGTGGCTGACTAAATACTTTTTTGCCCCACTGTATAATGTAGCATACTAGCGTACTATAGTATTGTGTTAGCAACAGGCATGCCCACACTCATTAGTTCAGTGGCAAGCATTGTAAAATGTTTTATTCTTTTACCTTTAACTCTGCAAGTTCATCGGATTTTCTATACAACCTTTTCTTTGGGTACATTGTACATGTAAGCCCTTCTCTTTGTAACAAAGGTTCATAGAGCCTCATCATCATGTCTGTTTGGCCTTTACCAAAATGCAGTTACCACATAGTTAGAATAATCCTCCATGTGTTTCTGTGCTGGGGTTATTATTTAAAATGCTAATGGAGAGCGTGGTAGAAATTCTTCTGGAACCTGTGGAGCTGCCCTTTACCTTGCTGTACTGCTGTGCGCCCTCTACCAGCCCAACCTGAACAATGAGCTGCTCTTTTAATAAGATCTAATGAAGCATACCACCTGCTGGCTTGCCCCTCTAGACATTTGTCTCTTCTTTCTCTCGCTCTCTGAAAGATCAAGAGGAGAATCTATCGCGGCAGTAATTAAGTCTCTCAAGGCCCGTGTGGCTGCCTGAAACCCATCCTCTGTGTCTCTCCATCATGTCATTCAGGTAGTGAGCGAGAGCGAAATGGATATACGAATCCTGTAGAGGTGCCCGGGCCTGATGTGAATAGATTTGGCACACAGCTGTCGGACACCCGTCACTCTGTTACTTTGACCAGTAAAACAGATACACCTGCTGGCCTCCCCATCCCCGTTACCCCTGTGTGAAGTATCTGGGTAGGTTTTAATAATCGATTAAAATCGATTCTGGCTTGGATAACATGATATCGATTCATGAAAATCCTGAATCGATTTTTTTATATAAATGTATTTTGCCCAAAATTCCAGAATCTCAGGTGAAACGTCACAAAATTTTGACAACCACCAAACAGCTAAGACAGTAAATGAGAGCAGGTACACGGCTTCTGCACAAAGATGTAAACAAAATGCTCACACCTTTGATAAAGTCTGGAAAGTGTCAGCTTCCTTTTTATAGATACAAAAATATGTAAATGTACTGATCTGAATTATAATATTTCTGACTGTGTGAGGAAAAATTTCCCAGATTCAAATCAAATCGATTCAGGACCTTGTGAATCGGAATAGAATCGATTCTAGAAATCAGTGACGATACCCAGCCCTACATCTGGGTCCTCATGCTAGTTTCCCACAAGCCCAAGTGGCCTAGACAATAAAAATGTTCAGTCTTCAACAGAACTCTGTTGAGTCAGATTTTAACCATCGCCCGTTGGTGGTTCTGGCTGAGCAAAGATCCAGTTATGAACTCAAAGCTGTCATATATAATGAAAAACCTCTTCTAAAATAATGGTTGTGAAAGACATGTCCAAAATGTTGAACCAGAAAAAAGGCAAGAACAAGAACTCCAAGTTTTTCTATTAAGTTATCATTGTGCCAGCACCTGTACCTTTACTGAATAAAGACTTTCCCTGTCCAATATAAACTTGATAAAGTGTGCCACCGTGATGCCGTACTGGTGGAAACTGGCTCTGTGATGGAAAATGCTTCATAAAGGTCACAGGATGTGGAAACTTTATAAATCTGAAGAAAAGGGGGGGGGGAAATCAGAAAGAACATAAATGCTGTCCTGGAGGGACCTTGCGAGGGAAAGCATTTAAAACTGCTTCCCACAAGAAAGTGACAGCAGGGTCAGAGAACAGCCCTGTCAGGTAGAGGGAAAGAGCTCAAGGCTGATCTGTGACGAATCGGGTCACCAGATCCAAAGCTGTTAAGCAGATGATATTTATAATGTTGCCGTTGAGTTTATTTTCAGTATTTTGTTCTTAAATGAGTCAGAGGAGAAGCTGGAAAGAACCCAGCACTCTGTACTGCAAACACGGGCCCATATGGCTCACCGTGCTTCTACAGCATCTGTCTTTGAATACTTTGAATACTAGAAAATGCTCAGCTTAATGTGCACCTCGTCATCGCATCAAGTCCACGACACCGGGCAGTAAACAAAGAAGCAAACATCTTGTCTCATCTTATTCATGAAGAGTAAAGCCAAGTAGTAGTTAAGTTAAGTGCTAGCGGTTGCACTTGTTGTTTTGTTCATGTTATTCTTCAACTGGTCTTTTCTAGTTTTAGGCATAAATTCTAGAACAAAAGCGTGCTGGGTCCGACTCCCAATTCTGGTCCCCAGCATGGTTTGTTTTTTTCTGCTAATCAGTGCTGCAAAACAGCTTAATATTCTACAATGTCATTGTCCAAACTGAAGCACAGACTTTTTGGATGGACTGTACCACACAGCAGTTTTTATTTGTCAGATATTAAATGCGTTACATAAGGCAACAGCATTAAAAAAAAAAAAAACAAAACAAGGCCCAGTCAGTGAGCTGAAGTGAGGCCTAGTGGACTGCTAGCAGCCTACTTCACACGAATATGTCACTCAAAACAGGTAAAATCTTTAATAATGAACAGGCCTCGATAAAATTTAAAAAGATGCGTTATAAAAATCATAACTCCTATAAAGATGTTATGAAGATGTTGAACTAGCAACCGAGATATAACCGCCTTTTGTACCAGGCTAGTAAGGCATTCATTTCTGCTACAAAGCTGCGGCATTTTCCATGGATGTTTACGGGAATAGACCTGCTTTTGAAGAGAGCCTCAAGTGGCCATTTCAGGAATTGCAGAATTTGGCTTTATTAGAAGTTTGAGCAAGGCTTTGCCTTTGGGATCATCTTCCATCTCGGAGTAATCAAACAAAGATGACAGAATTGATTAAAATGACCTCCAATCAATGAAGTTAACACATTACACTTCTTGCTCATAAAATCTGCCTTCTGAATGCTTCTACAAATGAACCCCTCCTTTAACTAGAAACATGAGAACTGATGGGTGGCGTTTGCTATGCACATTCATGTTCCCACAGAACAAAATTGTTTTCACACCATTTTTATTCCACGAGCTTTCTGCAGACTCCAACAGTAAAGCCAGACATTTATTTAAACTCCAAAGGAGATAATCCCATTGGACTCTAATGGCCTCTTGGCCACAGATTAGCAAAATCATCAATATGTTATTCATTCCATCCAGTTCAATAACCATGGCAGGAAATGGGGGTCATAAAGGGTTTTTGAGTTTGTCTCGTTTATTAAGCTTCCCTGTTGCTTCACTGTGACCAATCAAAAAGAGCCAGACTTTCCACTTTCTCCATCCTCTGCACTCATTCTCCTCCCAAGAAAATCCTGGTTGAAAAATATTCGCAGCCCCACAGCAGCCAGACGGAAAGCTGCTCCCGTACAACGTGGCACACATGTTCTGTCACTTCCTAACACCTTGCACACAGGGGGACATCAATGACACTGTTAATTACTATCAAGAACATGGTTTACAAGTACATGGGCGACACATGGTGCATTATCAACTTCTGTGTGTAAAGCCAACTCTCTCCTGTTAATAGGCTGGTCAGGTTGATAATCGGAGCAATTGTTCGAAACAGTGCTCGTCGTAATGAGTTGGACCAAAGCCAGCCTGGATAATAAAGGTGCAAACATTACCAAGTAGGTTTTGGTTAGGGCAGAATTGTCCTGGTGTCTAATAATGGCTTTCTGCTTTACATTGAAATCGGTATTTGCTTCACTTTGGACATTTTGCATTTTTTCCTCTAGAAATCACTAAACTCTTTCAAGCCTCCATAGCAGATTTTGACCACACGCTAAACCCAAATGCACCTACTCTTTAAGTTCAATAAGTAGTGTTAATGTATTCAGAAATTAAATTAATTTAAGCTTCTTGAGTTTCTGTGACAATTTTCTCAGTTTTGACTACTTTTATCATGTCTGCACGTGTCAGGAGAGTTGGATGATGCCTGTATGGAACCTGTGGATTGCTGGGTTGATGAATACGTCCATTTCAGCACAGATACAGTTAAGCTCTGGTCATTGTAAAATGAAAATAACGTGAACATAATGCAGTTGTTGGTGATTGTCAAACATCAAACTTGTGGATCTAAGTGAACATTTGTCACTTAATCAAAAGATTTCAATCTGTTAAAAATTGTTATGTTTAAAAATAAATTAGACTAAAGAGACTTTTTAAACAGTGCATTAAAAGAAGGATATTTAACCATTTGGATTTTGAAGTTGCTAAATAATAATTTTATATATACACACTATACAATGTAGTGTAAAGTGCTTTGGGTTCCTTAGGGACTGAGTAAAGCGCTATACAAATACAGGCCATTTACCATATACTGCAGAAAAAGTACCCATTCCAAACTCATTAAACTTTCACTCTGGTTAAACAGCTTTACAACATTTTTCCTCTTTTATTGCTGTGGAATTTCATCAGGTCTGAACTTTAGAGTCGATTCTTCTTTGTTCAAGTAACACAACCAGTCAGATGACGTTACGGACGGACATATCAAGGCTCTTTTTGGACATTCAAACTAAACCAAATGTAGTGTTTAAGCCTAAAGTTGTCTTCAGACACAGTTAATCATTGGTAGGAATTTGACCTCCTTATCTGACCCAAACAGCGAATGTACCAACTATATGCTAGCTCTAAGCCAGAGGTGTCACACTTATTTTAGTTCATGGGCCACATACAGCCCGAATCGATCCCTGAGGTAGTAAAACCAAACATCAAAAGGAAGGAAGAAAAGAACAGAATAAAATGCCCTCTCTAAAGAACTACAAGTGCATCCTACAAATATGAAGAACAGCCTGATGTCTCAGTAAAATAAATGTAATTGCATCATAATGTCTCCACATTAATTACATTTACTTTCCTTACAACTGCATACCAGTTTAGTGGTTATTTGTATCCCTCTAATGTCAATCAGCAGTATCCTTCACTCTCATCAGTAGTTGCTTGAATCACTCTGCCGAAGCTTAAAGTAGGTCCAAAGTTAAGTTAAGTTGTTTTTTTGTTTCTTTTGGTTCTATGGCCTGTGGTCACCACATTGCTGCCAGCTTCCTGTGAGGATGTGTGGACTTTCCATACATTTTCACTCCTGTATAGTCTTACTGTCTGAACATAGCCATGCTGGTAACAGCAATGCATTTCATTTTAAAATATATTTCACTGCAAGTTTCACTGTTTTTTCTTTCAAGCTAAAAGCCAGCCTGCTGGCTACTCCCAAGGCCTCATGTTTGACATCCGTACTCTCAGCTAAACAGCAATGAACACATTGATTGTGTTTGTGCGAGTATGCCTGTGTTCTGTTCTGTAAAGCACTGTAATACACAGTTTTGTGCTTAAACCTAAACATTATGAACGCCTTTCCCGTCCTTTTCAAGGCAAAAAAAAAAAAAAAAAAAACATTTCCACTGACCTTCACTATTAATTAGTGTAAATCAGCATCTTGTTGAGCAGAAAGCTTATCTGAATCACTGATTTCAAATATTAGCCTTGCACAACATGTATCTTACACAAAGAGCTGAGAACCAGCAGGTTTTCAATCCAGCTAAAGGACTGCAGCAGGTGATTCATTTTTTCCTCTCCGGTTGATGGAATGCCAATCTGTAAAATAACCTGCTGCAGTCTTTGGCTGGAATGAAAACCTGCAGACCCTTGGTCCTGTGTGGCCCATTTTTGCCTCTATGATGAAAATGCTCACACCAACAGAGATGTATTTTTTGTAGAAAATGGCAGTTTTGCCTGAGGCTACTGGCCACTTCGCTAAAATTTTAAGAAGTGTTTTCTCTTTTTCTTTTCATCTGGTGCCCACCTCACACTCAATAGAAATGACTGATATGGCAGATTGAGATGTGATAAAAATCCCCAACATAAGCCTGTTGGAACAGCACTGAACAACACTCAGTTATTCACTGACTCATGAAGTCTACCTCTGTAAAAACTCTACTGCTAATCAAATGGCAGCTCGTGTAGTAAAACTTTGTGTGTTTTACTACGCAGGCCAGTAATGTGCAGTCTCATATACAGAGTGACGCTAGAGACTCTGCAGATTTATCTTTAAACATATGAATAAGACTATAAAGTGACAAGTTTTTTGGTGTTCTACCGAAAACACACATAACTCACTTTGGATGGCGGATGTCAGGAACAGAGCGGTTCAGGGAGATGCGGTCGCTGACGTAAATGTTGAAGCCGTTTTCTCTGTAGGCTTGATCGACCCGGTCAGCATCAGTCAGGGGGAACGGCTTCCCCTGTTCACCGTTACCTACAAATGAACAACATTTCATCACAAAAACTTTAATCTATACAGACCAAAAGGGAGCAAGCAAATCTCACACGTCATTCTCTTCACAGAAATTCAACAAGAGGGAGAAATTAAACAGTAAGTGAATTTGGGCTTTTAGTGACTGCATCACTACAGGAAGAGAGGCGTGCACGAGATAAAGAAAAGAACTTAACGAACTAGAATTACAGAATTATAACTGGAATTAAAATTATATTCACTGTAATACAAATTTACTCAAATGAATGCTGTGTTTTATTTAAGAACACTTCAAATTAGCAATTGAGTCCATGACCTCATCAGGAAATGTTTTCACACACACACACACACACACACCAACACACACACACACCACCCCCCCCCCCCCCCCCCTTTTGGACCCACAGGAGTCGCCCCCTTCTCATGCTTAGAAAGCTCCACCTTTTAGACCTAGAAGCTGCATCCATCCTAGAACACTCTCCACACCCACTTGTTAACTATAGCTGAAGTCAAAACTAATCTAAAATATATTAGTTTGTCTCTGGATATATAAATCGGAGATTAATGTTTGAGAACAAAACGACTAAAGAAAAAGCCACACAGGATAATATTACATCACCATATTTTGGGGATTCATTAAAAGAAGAAGTATGGTCCTGTGGAGAACAAAAAACAACTCTAATCATCTACAGACATGCATGTTTCATTAAGCAGAAATTACCCACGTTTCCCTCCAAAAGGAAAGAAGAGTGGAAAATAACTTTTAGCCTTTAACGGCTCATTTCAGGAGATAAACCCATTTGGACTAATTTACACTCAGTGTGTAAAAGCTGTTTTCCCTGAACAGAAAATTAAACCCAATCAGTGATGATTGTAGAAGATATAAACAGTATTTATGGCACCAGTAATGTATCCAAAGCACAGATTTACACCCTTGCTGGATACCAGGAGAGCAACGCTCTGGATGTGTGTGTGTGTGTGTGTGTGTGTGCAAATCCAAAAGCATCTTTCTTCATTAAGTTTCATTTTTTCAGGAGTTGTAAAAAGAGATTTTGACAAACCAGATCGAGATGCGTCTCTTTTGATTGCTTCATAGTCATGCCAGTCTTTTCGCCGCACACCGTTGCGTCCCAGCTGAGCGCCCTTCCCCGCACGATTCACTCCCTGATGGAAAAAACAGAATTGGACAGAGGATGGTTATGAGCACCGTCATACACACAGACACATCTGCATTTGCTCTGCTCTGATGGCTGGATTAACCAGTGAACAGTATATTGGCTGCCATGTGGACATACAGCACACATTTCCACAGATGTTCATATTTTGTACTCCAGTGTGTCTTACAACTGTACGGCAAAAGGATATTTTAAGTAGGGAAGAGCTTCCAGAACTTCCTGATTTATAACAATCATTCACAACATGTTCAACCAATTTCAGCTTGAAGCTATTAAGCAAGCAATGTAAGAGAACTTCTAGCTTCAGTCACAACCAGCTGCTTCTTATGCACGCTTGCAAGTTGGTATCTTGGTTTAACTTTGCTCCTCAAGTTCCTCCTATTTTAGTAATTCTTTGGAAATACGTGCCACATCGTAGACTGTGTATCAATGAAGTAAATGCTTAGGTGAAACGCATTAACTGACCCAGTAAGTAGTAGGACATGCCGAAAACACTTCACTTCTTTTGGGCTGCCAGCAACCATTTGATGTGGTTTGCGTGTCTGGCCTGGGTGCCACCTGGATACCTCCTTGGTGGTTCTTTTCTGGGCCAAGCTTGTAATGCTGTGTAAATAACTAAATCACTCAGACAAAACCTCCACATCAGGATTGGTACAAGAAGGTGAATATGAAAAAAAAGTGGAAGCAAAAAACAAAAACAGAAACAAAAGAAATACAGAGTGATCCCATCTTTTCAAACTATTGCAGCACCTCCACCTGTAGAATCGCTGAGCTTCTGGACTGATATATATAAAAGAGACATGACTGTCAACTCATCTCTTCATTTCAGTAAAAGTCAGTTGAAACGTGCACGATCAGCAAAAATGGCGGCTTGCGACAGGGGATGTGATGTAAATTTGGCGTCAGCTTTCTCGTAAGGTGCCGTTTGCCCGGCACTAGGCGGCAGGCATGGGGAGGCCCTTAGATGAATGTGGTAACAAGGATGAGCAGAGTTGTGACTGACTAACAGAGAATAGCACGTCTCTAAAACATCTGCTAATCCAGTGATTGGGGATCAATTTGGATGTGCACCAAAATAACGTTTGCCAGCGGTTAGTAATGTGGAAGTGCAGTGAAAATTGGAGATTGATTGAAGAGTAAAAACGGCAAAGTCACATAATCATTGATTGTCCAGTTGACTGAAGCTGAATCTCAAGTGCTAGACATTTCTGTTCCAAACCAGCGCACAACCTCCCACGCCAAACCTGCAAAGGCTCAGCCACCTCGCACACAGAAATGGTCAGGAGGATGGTAAAAGACACCTTTTTTGTTGTTAATGAAATAAAATGTGAAAAACCAACATAAGTCGTTTACACAACAGAGCAGCACACTCAGTCTTTTTTACCTCACCC